TTACCCCTATTACCCCAGTCACCGAGTGAATCCATCTCCCCAGGGTCTTCTCGTGCACTGTCCCTCCACCCTTCCAAGCATGACGTCCCTCTTCAATGAATGGTCCCTCCTTGCAACATGCCCAGAGTATGTCAGAAAGAGCTTCAGAATCCTTGACTCCAAGGAGCACCCTGGTTTCATCCTCTCTAGGTTGAACCTGTTTGTTCTCTTAACAGTCTGTGGTATACTTAATACTGTTCTCCAGCACCACAGCTCAAAGGCATCAATTCTCTTTCTATCATCCCTAGTCATTTTCCAGCTTTCTGATGTATAGCACATGATTACAAAGACTATGGCCTAGATCAGGCGCACCTTAGTCTCCAGACTGACATCATTGCTCCTCAGTACTCTGGAGAGGTCCCTGGATCTCGAGGCAAAATCATCCTCAGCTTACAGTGGGTACTAAAGCCTATGACTTGGGCTTATCCTTAGGACAAAAAGATGGGCGATCTGAAATACAGAGAAGAAATCCATGGAAGAAAACCATGTGGACATGAATGTCAGGAGGCTCCAGCTAAAAGAGGCTAGAAAGGACTGGTTCTCTTAAGCGTCTTCAGCGGGAGGAGGTCCTGGCTAACCCTTTGCTTTTGCACTGGTTTTGTTAAAGCAGCTCTTGGAAACTAATACATACTTCCAAAAGTTTCTTTTCATCAGTAACAGGAAACTTTAAACCAAAAACTTATCCACTATTTTGCAGACAAATGGTCAATGATTCTGGCATTCTAAAACAATTTATGTACATTATTATCTTGACCTCAATCCATACTGGTTTATTATCACAATTTACCTTAGTTTATAAGTTTTTTTGGCATACGGAAGAAGGATATGCAAAACCTCAAACCTGATATGGATGGTTGATAAGATGGCTTTCACAGGACCCCACCCTAAAATTAGGGTAAAGATGAAGAAACAGTGAGTAGGTGATTCAAAGATTGAATAAGACCTCTGGCTCAGTCACGTCTCCTCTGAGCCCAGACTTGTTCTTAAGCTTCCTTGAGTAAGAGTCCTCTACTCAACACCAGCAGGTAAAGCATTCCTTGGAAGCTTCAAATCTGAGACAAATGGTCAAGATTCACAGCCTAGGACTCCCACAGGGTCATCAGCCTTGTATTCTGTGTAAGCTCGGACAGACTCTCAGCTCACATGCATCCACAGAAAGTTGATTTGCAATGGAAAAGTCATGAAATGTCAACCAGCAAGCCTGGAAAGGCTCTTTAAGACCACACTTCAAAATCTTCCCATTTTACAAAAGAATCTGAGGTCCAAGCAAGTTAAAAGACTTTCCCCAAGTCCCACAACTGGTTAATAGCAGAGCTGCCAACATGGGTCTTCTAACTTCTACTGAGTTTGGCTCAGCATGTCAGTGTGCCTGGTCACTTTCCCCTCTCAGTAGAAGAAGAAAGATGAACAGGGAAGAAGAGATGGGCAGGGAGGCCAAAATGCAAACAGGGCTCAGGCTAGCAACATAAAGCAATGTCTAGCATACAACTTTCTAAGTTACTTATGGAAGATGTTTAGTAGCTTTCTAAACTTTCCACAATGCAAAGCAGGGATTCTGAAGTCAGAGGTACATGGTTACAAGGTTCATGATCTGAACATGGTTTCACAGTGTTGAGGAAGAAAGGCCTGGCAATTCACATCCATAAAGATCACAGCCAAGAAAAACATATATGGAGCAATTCCATTCTGTAACACCTGGACCTGCTATGTGTCACAAGTCAGAATTAATCTGACAGCAAAGAAGTAACAGTCGCACAACTTTGTACTCAAAGCTTGGAATTTCGCACTTTGAAAAAAAAAAAAATTCAGATCTGACCTTCAGGTGACTTCAGTAAAAAAGAGCAGGTAGGCATGCGACACTCTGTTTAGGGAGTGGAAAACTGGACATGGTGGTATAAGGCCATGAGCATCTTTCGAAAAGGACCAGAGAGAGTGAGAATAAGACAGCCCCTCACTACCCCAGAGCAGAAAGCCTATAAAGAGCCCAAAGCCCAGAATAAAGTCCCTTTATTCATTATTGATTCACAGACTCACTAGAATGGGGTTTTTTATGGAAGGAAGTTGGAGAGTGAGGGAGGCAAAGAATATCACCCAAAACAAGTCCAGGTTTTAGTCCAGTAATTCCAAGGCACAACTCTTCTGTCAGTCCAGGCTCCGGTTTCAGTTCAGCAAACAGCTTTTCCTTCCATCATCAGAGACAAGAACAGCAAACCTTTAAACTGTAGCCAGCACAAATATAAGAAGCCTCAGGTCACACCTTGACACAGTTTCTCCACAGCAATACTACAGTCCCTCCATCACCATCACCGAGGTCTTGCCACCAGGGTCTTGCCACCAAGGTCTTGCTCCATCTCCCTCAAGTCTTACCAACACAAGTCTTGCTGCCCTGTGTGGGAAGCACTCTTTCTCTTACCCTAGTCCCAGAGCTGCTGATGATTTGCAAGGCCATGCTGATTTGCAAGACTACTGTGTCTGCAGTTAAGATAGTTGGAGACCACAGTGAACTAACTGTAATGGCTTTAAAAAGCCAACTTTTAGCCTAATAGCACACACTCCAAACACATACAAACATATTGTCCCACCTGGCCATTAATAAGCAAGTCCTTCCAAATATTGTTGTACTGAAATGATGCCAGAATGACCAATAAAGCCAGTCCACTCATATTCACAGGGTCAGGTGAACAACAATGACTATAAAGTGACTAAACTTACTGAGGGCCTGCAATGTGCCAATCACTTCTTATGTATCGGCTCATATATTTTTTCATTGCAACCCTTTGAGGCATGTACTCATTTTATAGATGAGGAGACTGAGGCACAAATAAGTTTAATAACTTATGCTCAGTCACCGAGTCAGGATTTCATTTAACTCCTGGCAATGTGACTCATGAGCACCATGCCAGTCTGGCCCAGGTAACCCTGTCTTCCTAAAATCCCTTCTAAAATTCAATGACATGAGTAAGTCAAGAAAAGGTACCAAAACTACTCATTGCAGTAGCAATCTCTGACAGGAAGCTAGACACACCCAAGGCTCCTAGGATGAAACTAAGCTGTAAGGTGTGAGATGCATACAGTGTCAGACTATTAACCAAAAGGTCAGCAGTTCAAATCCAGTTGAAATTAATTAGAAAGGTGGACAATCAATTGCTTTTAGATGCATCTTAGTCTCTAGACTGACATCATTGCTTTTCAGAAGCCAATGTTTATTGGTTATTATTTATGTGTATGTGTGGAGTCTTCAACTAAATACATCGCTTAAAAGACTGATTTACCTTTATCTGGCTGTGTCAAGTCCAGATACTTCTGTTGACTTTTTTGGTCTTATATAACCCTTTCCAGCCTGTCCACTCTCATTTTCCAGCACATTAAACCGTAACCACTAAAAAGCAATGATATCAGTCTAGAGACTAAGATGCACCTAATCCAGAGCATGGTCTTCACAATTACTTGCTATGCATCAGAGAGTTGGACAATGACTAAGGATGATGAAAGAAGAATGGATACTTTGAATTAAGGTGCTGGAACATTACATGTCTTGAACATACCATGGACTGCCAAGAAAACAAATAGGACTGTCTTAGAGAGGGTGAAACCAAGTTTCTCCTTGGAGGCTAGGATTTTTAAGCTCTGTCTCACATACTTTAGGCATGCGACCAGGGGATATTGGTCCTTGGAGAAGGACATCATGCTCCAAGGGGTGGAGAGACGCAGGAGAGGAAGACCCCTGATGAGATGGGTTGATACAGTAATTGGCGCAATGAGGGGGTGGTGTGTCAAAATTAATGAGACTGGCTCTGGGCAGGGTTCAGACCTGCTGTGCATAGGGTCACAGGCACCTCAAAAGCACACAACAACAAGCAAAGAATGTAGAAAGGGGGTCGGTCATAAGGTGCAGAATTTAGGAAGGGACAGGAACGACAAAGATCACTACTGAAAGCTAGCTGAGAGCCAACACAAATGTATTGTTGGAAGATTAGAAATGATGCTTGTCTGATTAAACCAATAGTTAATAGACACGGTTTAATGTGCTGGTAAATGAGAGTGGACAGGCTGGAAAGGGTTATATAAGACCAAAAAAGTCAACAGAAGTATCTGGACTTGACACAGCCAGATAAAGGTAAATCATTCTTTTAAGCGATGTATTTAGTTGAAGACTCCACACATACACATAAATAATAACCAATTAACACTGGCTTCAATATTTGTTTACAAAATCATGGAGTTCAGCCTTGTATGTTTGCTAATTTCACTCTCAATATTCTGTATTGTCACATCGGCCTGCATGTCATGATCCAGTGACATCCTAATTCCTGCAAAGTCAGGATCCAACCGTGCTTGGTGATCCCTCTGCAAAGTCACTTAGCACATCTGCTAATGAGTGTTCCATTTCCTCACACCTCAAAGCTTAACCTGGAATGACTCAACAGCCCCGTGGGAAGGCTGTCATGTGATAAAATAAGTAGGGTTTGTTGGGTTTTTTTAATGGGAAAAATAATTCTTTGGATTCAGTCCTGACATTTTCTTCTTTTGGTAATGAACAAAATGCCAAAGTACCCAAGTTCCTTGAGAGTATAAGAATGAAATTCACAGTTGCAGATTTCCCCTGAAATCTACAAATCAGGTCTAAAAATCACAGCTGGATTCAAGAGGACGATAGGAACTTTTCTCAGGTACCTTTCCAGTTCCAATAATGCGTCCAGTGTTTTGGCATTGTCCACGGTATCGACCTAAGTCTCAAGAACCTTGACAATTGGTGCTTAGGGGCAAAAAAAATCTTATCTGTAGAAGATAAACAAACCCAAAGAACAAGATATCCCATAGGGGGCAAAGGGGCTTAGTTTGTGCCTAAGTGTGACCCTAAATCAAGTCACCTCCCCAAGGACACGCACACAGGTACCCACACTCTGTGACGCCCGGTGGCAGCCAGGTCACCTCCGATCGTGCCGGAGCCGCGCACCCACCTGACCAGAGGCTCCTTCTCGGGCAGCGCGGGCTCCTCCAGGCACTTACACGGGCAGCAGCAGCAGCACACGCTCCACAGCCAGTCCCTCAGCTCCATGGAGAGCAAGGTCCCCCTGCCGCCGCCGGGGGACTCGGAGAAAGGCACCTCGGAGAACGGCCGGGGCTGGAGCCGGTGCCGCCGGCGGGTCTGCGTCCAAGTGCGCGAAGAGCCGCGGTCCCGGCGTCGCAGACCGGCCTGTGCGCATCACGCCGCGGCCGGGGACGGGGCGAGGGCAGGGGCGCCACGGCCCGGGGCTGCAGGGCGGCGCGCCTCTCGCACTCGGTCCTGTTGGGGCGTGTGTCTTGTTGGGGGTTTTTTTCCTCTCTAATTCACCGAGCGCAAAGCGGGGCGCATGCGTCCCGGGCGGGCCGCCCGGCGGCTGCCCTCTAAGGAGGAAGCGGCCACTCCAGGCCGGCGACGCGCTCTGGGGCGAACCGAGCGCTGCACTGCGCCAGGGCCACGGGGAGCTGCGTGCGCGGCGGGCGGGGGGAGCCCGGCAGTCACGGGGTGCGCGGCTGCCCGAACCCGCCGAGTCGTCGGACAGGGTTCAATGCCCAGGAAGTCCAAATAAAAGGCCACCCCCACCCCTACGCCTTCAAAGCAGTGTGGTTGTGTGTCGGTCAGTCTCACCAACTACGGAATTAGTGAGAGGATGGAGTAGCTCAACATTGAAGGGGGTTTTTGTTTTCATATAGTCACGAAGCTTTTGAAAACTTGTTTTCCATCCCCCCAGGGCTTAAGTAAGGCCCTCAAAAAGCTACCCACTAGCACTAGGGTTTTTTTTCCCTTTTTAAAAATATTTACATTTTTTTTAATTTATTATTCATTTCAATGAATATTTACAAAGACTTTATATTTCCATTCATTCATTGTTGCACTTTTCTTGCCTCTCAACCCTCCCTCTCCCCCAGTACACTACCTTCTTGGAAAAGTAAAAGAAAAATTCTTTCATTGTTTCATAATCCCTCCTCCCAGGTCCACTCCACTATTGTAGCCTCTGCTCTCGCCTCCTGTCATGACAAAAATACCTAATAATTTTCCCTCTTAAACAGTTTTCTCCCTCATCTGTTTCAATGTGGTATACATTATTGACCCATCCTTCTCAATCTCCTCCCAACTCCAAGGTCAGTCCTGCTTTACAACAGTGGCACCATGCAGTATTTGTCCTTTTGTGACTAAGATACTTCACTCAGCATAATGTCCTCCAGGGTCACCCTTTTTTAATAATAGTGCATGAGTTCCTTGTTTTTCAATGCAGCATAGTATTCCACTGTGTGACTATACCACAGCTTCTCTATCCATTTGTTTGTTGATGGGCACTTAGGTTGTTTCCAGCTCCTTAGTATTGTGAACAAAGCTGCGATAAACGAGTGTGCATATATCTGCTTGGATGTCAGTTATGGAGCACCAGTTTCTTGATGCTTCTCCAGAGCTTCTGTGTACATACAAATGATGAGTCTAAGTTCATAAATTACTGTTTTCTTCCAAACAGTGGCGTCCTCCACAGCTTTTTTCTTCCTCTCTCTCAAGTGTCATATTTTGCTCAAAAATCCATACTAAGGATCGCTGATAGTTTGTTGTTGTGTGCAATTGAGAGAGAACCATCCCATAGTTGACCCTCCAGCCAGTTTTCAGAGGCAGTAAATACTCAGGAGGAGGTTGCCCATCCTCCCATGCAGCAGCTAGTAGACTCGAACTACGTCTCTTCAAGATTACAGCGCAAACTTCTTACCACTAGGCCACCAGGGATGGCTACAACAGGCTATTTTTTTCCCCGTTTACTCGATTAAACGTTGATTTTAGTTCAAGATTCCACCACTCTTCCCACACTTAACAATGTTCCAGGGATGATGCACCCACAGAAGATATCAGAAGCTACAGTGTAAACAGTATCAATTCTGGAGATCAGATGCTTAATTCTTATTTGTCCACAGCCAAACTTTAGAGCTTGTCTAGTGACTTCTACCCATAGTCCTTTGTTCAGTTATATAATATTTCTATATTAACCTTGTCTATCATCAGTACTTCAACAGAATGCAAGTAATTTTAATAGTTGTATTGTTGATGTTATGTGCCGTCATCGTGTGGCCTGCAGCTCATAGCGACCCTATGTAACAACATCTCTGAACTCTGCCCTATCCTGAGTCAGTCTCACTATCTCCAACATACCTATCCCCATAACCCTAGATGCCATATCAGTCCATCTTATCCCGGGTCTCCCTCTCCTACACTGTCCCTCCACCCTTCCAAGCCTGATGTCCTTCTCCAAGGATTGGTCCCTCCTGGCCAAGTATCCAAAGAATGTGAAATGGAGCTTCAAAATCCTTGTCTCCAAGGAACAGCTTGGTTTCATCCTTTCCAAGACAGGCCTGTTTGTTCTCTTGGTGGTCCGTGCTATGTTCAAGACTCTTCTCCAGCACCACAACTAGTACTGAAAGGTATTACTTCTTCTTCTTTCATTTTTAGTCATTATCCAGCTCTCTGGTGCACAACAAGTAATTGTGAAGACCATGGCCTAAATTAGGTGCACCTTAGTCTCTAGAATGACATCATTGCTCTTTAGCACTTTGGAGAGGTCCCTGGCAGCAGTTTACTCTAATGAAATTCATCTTCCGATTTCCTGGCTGTTGGCGCCAAGATTGTTGATTGTGGAGCTAAGTAAGCTGAAACTGCTAACAACCTCAATCTCATCTCCATCTATCATGGTATTCCCAATTGGCCCAATCATGAGAATCCTTGTCTACTTGATGTTGAGCTTCAATTCATATTAACGACTTACCATCCTTGACCTTCTTCTGTAGCTTCTACAGAGCAGCTTGGTTTTATTCTCCCCAAGATGTCCTGTTTGAAACTACATAAATATTTAAACCCCATAAATTGATAGTATATCTTAATGTATCCTAAGCTTCAGCAGATAAAGTTGTGTTATCTGCGGAACACAAGTTGTTGATTAGTCTTCCTTGAATCCTGATGCTACATTCTTGAAACAACATATGATCCAGCCTTCCAAATGATCTGTTCCACCTACAGATTGAAAAGGTGTGGAAACAGGACACCTCTCTGATGCACTCCTTTCCTGATTTTGAATCAATGCAGTTTTTCCCTGCTTTGTCTGGACCACAGTTTTCTGGTCCAAGTATAGGTTTTGCATGAGCACAATCAAGTGTTCTGGGATCCCCATTCTTCTCAAATTTAGGCACAATTTGGTGTGATTCATACAATCAAATGCTTTTGCAGAGTCAATGAAATACAGACAGACATTCCTCTGATACTCTTCTTTCGTTCAAGATCCATCTGACATTGGCAATAATGTCTCTAGTGCCACAGTCTCTTCTAAACCCCGTTTGAATTTCTTATAGTTCTCTGTGAATGTACTGTTCCAGTCATTTTTGTACAATCTTCAGCAGGATCTTGCTTGCATGTGATAAAAGTGATATTGTTCAAAAATTTCTACACTCTTTTTTTGAAATTAAAATAAATATAAATCTCTTCCAGTCAGTTGGCCAGGTAGTTGTCCTCCAGATTTCTTGGCACAATCTGGTAAGCACGTCCATGACAGCATCTGTTTGTTGAAATATATCAATTGGTTTTCCTTCAATTCCTAGGGCCTTATTTTTTTGCCAATTCCTTCAGAGCAGCTTGAACTTCCTCCTTCATCACCATTGCCTCTTGATCATATGTTGTTTCATGAAAATCTTTTGTATCAGTCAATTCTTTTAGTATACGGTGACTCTGTACTCCTTCCATTTCTTTTAATGATTCCTAGATCAAGTATTGCAAGTTGAGACTTAGATTGGAAAACAGTATTACTCTTAGCCAAAACCAGACAAAGGTGCAAAGTTAAACTCAGTTGCCCTGCTTCTTTAGGAAAAGTCTGGGAAAACAAGCACACAAACAAGAAATTTTTAGAAGACTGTTTCTGGAGCTAAGCATTAAAATTTTGGTTAAAAACTAAACTATTTTTGCTTTATAACTAAGTGAAAAGTAGCTTCACAGTTAGTATTATAAATTATACAGAAAAATACATTAAGAAATATGAAAACTTTATGGGATTTAAATATATATGTAGTTCCAAACAGGTCATCTTGGAGAGGGCAAAACCAAGCTGCTCCTTGGAAGCAAGGAATTTGAGACTCCATGTCACATACTTTGGACATGTAGTCTTTGGAGAAGGATATTATGCTTGGAAGGGTTGAGGGACAGCACAGGGGAGGAAGATCCCAAATGAGATGAATTGACATAATAACTAGGTTAATAAGGGTAAGTGTGTCCAAGATTGTGAGATTGGCTAAGGATAGAGTTCAGAGCTGTTGTTCATAGAGTCACTATAAGTTGTAGTCAACTTGACGGTGCAAACCAACAACACATAGTAAATAATTAAAACTATCTTGCCTGGTCTTTGCAATGAAAGCAGCAATCACTATTTTCTAAACATCAGGAGGAGTTTTTTTGAAATGCCTGTGTTTAATTAACTCTTGGGGTGTAGTGGTAAGGAATTGCACTATCCAGGCAAAGGTACTCAGAGGTAAAGCGTTCAAGTCAACCAACTGCTCTACAGAAGAAAGATGGGCAGTCTCCTCCCCTGCAATTTACTGCCTCTGAAAACCTGCTGCTATAGGTGGATTCCAAGCCAACAGTACACAACAGTAACAGCCAACATCATAGTGTGTGTGTGTGTGTGTGTGTGTGTGTGTGTGTGTGTTCGTTCTTGTGTGCCCTCAACTTGGAACCAACTCATACTTGCCTCTCCCAGGGTTTTCAGAGGCAGTTAATCGCATAGGAAGAGATTGCTCATCTTTCTCCAGCAGATCATCTAGTGGATTCAAACTGGTGACTTTGAGATTGTAGTGCAGCTTCTTACTGCTAGGATGTGTGTGTGTATATATAGACCCTGGGGGGTGGGGGGTGGGAGTGGTGAAGCAAAGGCGAGCTAGAGTTTCGCTTGGCAAGTGCCAGTTCTCATGGGTGCAGGATTAATTTTTTTAAAATGTTACTTATTCACAGGCAACTTGACGGCACTTAACAACAACAACGACGATGACTTACTGCACACACGT